GGTCATCCTTCAACTTGCATTAAACACAACAACTTGAAAATTGATGACCAAATAAGCAATCTCAAGCCAAACACAAATTAATCTCATAACGATCAAATGCATAAAATCATAAGTAAATTAAATATAAAGTAATTGCTGAATAAATAAGTTACTAACGGTTGAAACATAAATTTTCTATATAAAGCTCCTTAAACTCAATGATGGCCTTCGCCTTTCCCAAGCTCTTTTTCTTCACTCTGTCATTTCATCAAGATTCCATATATAAAAACCAAAGCATTTCAGAACTCATCAGAAAAGAACATTGGATTGAGGGTCTCAACTACTTGTTTTTGTTATCTGTGACCCGTGACTCATGTTTTGGGATTTAGGTAGCTGCCAAACAAGGCCTCATGACTAGCATCGTTTTCACAGCTTTCTGCCAAATAAAGCCCCTCTCCTTCTTTTAATTCAATAAAGCAAGCGCAAAAAGAAAACAGCTCATTTGTGACACAAGTCAAAGCACCCAATAGATCTCTTACATCCCAAGTTGCAACCACAGAAAAAATAATTTTTAAAAAAAAACCTGTACCCTCCTTCAATCCTTATCTGCCTTTCCTTCGCTCTCTTCCTCCACAAGAAAATCTAGATCCAAAGAAAAATAACATTCTCACACATGGGTTCTATTATTTTCTCTCTCTTTCTTCTTTCCCTTGCATTTCCTCACCAAACCCATAATTTCTTTGTGACTGCTGACTCAAATTTGATCCAGAAAACTTGCAAGAACACCAAATACTATGGTTTCTGTGTCTCAACCCTCAAATCTGATCCCACAAGCAAAACTGCAGACACAAAGGGATTGGCAGTTATTATGGTTGGGATTGGGATGGCAAATGCAACTGCCACCTCATCTTACTTGTCCTCTCAACTAGTGAGGTCAAGCAACAATGACACAAACATGAAGAAGGTGCTCAAGGAGTGTGCTGATAAGTATGGCTTTGCTGGAGATGCCCTCCAAGCGTCAGTGCAGGACTTGGCCTCGGAGTCTTATGATTATGCTTCCATGCACATCAATGCAGCTGCTGACTACCCAAATGCTTGCCACAATGCTTTCAAAAGGTACCCAGCTTTGGCTTATCCTCCAGAACTTGCAAGAAGAGAGGAGGGTTTGAAGCATATTTGTGATGTGGCTTTGGGAATTATTGATAATTTTGGTTGGTAATTAAATATTGCCTAACTAAAGTGCACTCAATAATGCAAGCTTAAAAAGAGCAGAAAAAAAAAATTCTTTAATTTTCTCAATCATTGTAGTCTACGTTTGTGTTTATGTTGGTACTGTCGGCTACTTATTGTATGATTTGGGCTTGCAAGTGCCAATGCATGACCAAAACATATGTGATTAATTGCCAATGGGTCTAGACTTGTTGAAAAGATTGTAGACGATAGTTGATATCACATGGTATTCGAAAGAGTTCTCTGACTCTGAGGAACATGTCTTTTACTAAAGTGATAAATCTGTTCGAAAAATTTCTGAAGTCTTCTTAATTCAGAAATAAAAAATTTTAAAAAAAAAATAAAACGAAAAAGGCGGATGGAATTATTACCTTATTGCTTGAAATGATACGTTCAACACATGGCCCAAAGCGGCCCAAGAGTAGAAAGGGTGACAAAATGTATTGTCTTTCCTTTAATGCTTTGGTCAACACAGAGAATGTGTTGTCATGGATTATGGATAAGAACTTTCATAAAAAGGGATGCTATATTTCAAGTCAATTACGCCATGTAAACCACACATATTGTTGTGTTAAAAAATTAAATTACATGATAGTGCGTGATTGATTTGAAATACCGTCACAATAACATCTGGTGTAAGTAAGATTTTATTTGTCAAATACCCAAAATGGTGATTATAATCAAACGGAGGACACATGGCGCGAGTTTATGCCCTAGTCTTTTGAGTTAGTTTGGTTTTGAATACACATTAAGTTAGGGAGGTGAGCTAACTGTTGCTTTTTTCCCACTTCCTACAACCACAACTCATCAAACTCATGTAGATGCTTCCAAGTTCTCCTCAAAGTCTTGACACATATTTTCTCTATAAAAACGCCATTGGAGATTGTATACTCTTCACAACAAGCAAACAGCATATTAACAGAGAGACTTGCCTATAGCCCTAGCAGCTCCTTCAACTCAACCATGGCTTTTCCCAAGCTTTTCTTCATTTCGTCTTTGCTGGTGGTGATTTTGTCAGCCTCAAGCACCCAAATGATTCATGCAGCTCGCCACCTTTTGGACACACCAGCAGCAGCTCCACCCCCAACACTGGCAATCCCTATAATCCCCTCTCTGCCAAATCCCACTCAGCTGCCTCCATTGCCTTCACTACCAACACTTCCCAAGCCCTCAACCACCTTGCCTACACTTCCAACTGCCCCAACTTTGCCCAAGACCACATTGCCTCCACTTCCCTCAACCCCATTGCCTACGCTTCCAACTGCTCCAACTTTGCCAAAGCCGGCCACCTTGCCACCGTTGCCGTCTACCCAATTGCCTACTCTCCCAACTACTCTGCCCCCATTGCCAACCTTCCAACCCCAAATCCCATCTTTGCCAAAATCCACATTGCCTACGGTGCTCCCTCCATTGCCAGCCAACCCACTTCCCTCATTCCCCTCAACAATCCCTTCAATCCCCACCATTCCAACAACAATTCCATCGATTCCATTCTTCTCCCCACCCCCATCCAATTAAACCACTTGCTCCATGATTACTAGTAGAAGTATACAATCTAGTTTCTTGTCTGTGCTGGGGAGTAGATTTTTTTTTTTAATGAATTCTTTCTTTGTTGGCTTATTGTAGTGTTTGTTTGTATTAATTATTGTTATGAATTATAGTATTATCAAAAGGCTTATTCTTGTTATTATGTATGATCTTTGTCATGGAAATGCTATTCATCATGGTGTCGACTGTATGCAATATGAGTAATGAGATCACATTTCTGTACCACATTGTGTACCACCTCAATATTGGAACCCATCTCTCTATTTAGAGATACGATATGTAAATGTAGAGGATAATATATTATCAGTTATGGAATCAGTAAATCGATAAGAGCTAGACGGTAATAACATATGATGCCATTTAATTTACTACAAAGTCATATTGAATGGTTGGATTAGAAGTATGAATCTTCAACCAGTTTTTATGAAGTTTTACTCTTTGTTTCAACCAAATCCCTTGACAGGTTCCTAAGGAGTATAAATTTTCAAGCTATTGTGCTTCAACGAACAAACTATTGAAAATAACCATCAAATATTACATATAAAAAATGATAACAAAACTAAATACAACAATAGGGAGTAACATGCATAACATCATCTCCAGCTGAAAAACATGCATAACATCATTGCTCGAAAAGGTGAATGTCTATCATCTGATGCAGGATAGATCCTGAAAGCTGGGAGTGCCACATGGCCGAGGTTTACATTAGAAATTAAGAAAAAGGAGGGTAGATAATTCTGACATTAGGGCTTAGAGGAATATGATTGTCGGGAAATGGAGTCTCTAGGATAGGAGCTTTCGGAATAGAAGTTCTGGGAAATTTATTAGGCCGCCGGTATTTAAAATGTTGAACATTAGCCAGAATTTTAGAAATTTCAGAAGTACTCTTATGAATCCTGAAAATAGCATCACCATGACCATGTGGAAGAGAGGAGCCAAGGCGTGGTGGAATTTTCGAAAGGGAGTGTGAGATGAAGAAAGAGAAGGAGCCTCTTCACCATAAATGGCTTGCACTTGAACCAGCATATAAGTAAAACCAGTGTCACCATTATCATCTTCATCATTAGTGAAGGAAGTTGAGGTTCCACCCCAAAGCCAATTGGCAATGGGAGGAGTAGCCCAACTCCTTATAAACCCAGGCTAGATCCCTTAACTTTTCAATGTGGGACAAATAGTTTCAACACACCCCTGCATGTGTGGCGAACTTTCAAGCCTAACTCGTGGACAACATAAATTGGGTGACATCGGAGCACATGTGGCCATTAGGCCCAACACGTGAAGCCTTGCTCTGATACCATGAAGGAAGTTGAGGTTCCACCCCAAAACCAATTGGCAATGGGTGGAGTAGCCCAACTCCTTATAAACCCATATTAGATCACTTAACTTTTCAATGTTGGACAAATAATCTCAACAATTAGCATCCGTGAACAAATATGATTGTATTCTCTCTTTAAAGTTTTTTCCCTATTTTGTAGTGTTTGTGTAACTCGTGCATGGTTTCAAAACCTAAAATAAAAACACAAGAAGGTTTTAGAATGAAATTTTACCTTTGTTTGGGGTTATTGTCCTATGAGAAGGTTCAAGAGGAAAGGGGCACTATAATAACCAATTCACTGCTTCATGATCCATCATAACGCTCCCTATCATAAAGTTGACAGTTCATCTAACAAAAAATAAATTCACTATCAATTAATATTTGAGATATTTAATCATATACCCATTCTTAGCACTAAAACTATAAATAAACCATACACCATTTAATTTCTATAAACAAACCCAAAAAAAACTAAAAAAATGACAGCTAACCCTATTTAATTTAGTTTTGATTATTAAATTACTTTGATGCCCTATTGAGTGTCTTGAGTTTTTTTATGAGGTTTTGGGGTTGGGTTTGTTTTAAGAAATCAATGGCAGTTTTGTAATTTAAAAAAAGTTAAAAGCCTTTTTGTTATGTTGTAAGAGCAAGGCCACCCCAAAAGGCTAAGGCAAGGCAAGGGCTGCCACTATTCACGTGAATAGTGGCAACTTTGCCTTTTTGGGTTCCACCTCAAAAGGTTACGGCAAGGGCAAGAAAAAAAAAAAGATTATGCAACAAAATATAAACAATTTAGAAATATAAGAAATAGAATGATTATGCAAGAAAAAAATAAATATGGAAGAAAATATAAAAAATTTACAAATGCAAGAAAAAAAAATGATTACAATTTACAAGTATTGGAAGGAGAAGAGTTTGTATGAGGATTTGGTGTGGAAAGTGAATAAAATTGTTATGTTTTTATAGGGAAAACATCCATAATTTTTTGGTTTAAAAAAAAAAAATTGAAAATTTTTTCGTTTTTTTTTTTCGCTCATTGACGTCAGCATGACATCAGCGCCTTCAGGCTTGAGCCCAAGCAGGATTTGCCCGTGGGCTTGCTCGGGCTGGTTTTGTTGCGTTGGAGGGGGATTTGGGCTCTCAGGGGGCCTGTTGCCAGGGCAAGGCCCGTGCGCTGGACATGCTTTAAATGGGCTTTAGTTGTGTTTCTAAAGTTCATTTCATATAGGGTTTTTTTTTTATAATTTGGGCCCCTATATTGGGTATAATAGTGAATCTCCCTTAATATTTTATCTAGTTGTTGTTACACTTTCATTTAAGCTTTTATAAATTCGTGTGTCGTATCCATATGTATGTATATTTTTTAACCAAACGTATTATATGTGCATTATTCGTGTATTGATGTATATAATCCAAGCATTTTGCATATATTTTTCATCGTATAATTTTAAAATATAAAATAATGGTTGATTTTTTATCGTATTATTTTTAAAAGTTTCAAATAATATGTGTACATATTTTATGTATATTTTCTCCTTCCTGTATTTTACAAACTACAAATGGAACAAGATGGGTTACTACTGCCTATGAGCGAAACTCGTCTAAAAATCTACAAAATGTTTGAAACAACAACGAAGAATATTCATAACCTTAGTTCATCATGATCAACCACCACGTCAGTTTATAATGAGACTTGTTGATGCTCAAAATGGTTGGGCCTTTATTGAGTTCAACTTAGTGATGAGGTGTGATGGATGATGGGTGAAGGTTTGGACCTTCAGCATGTATGTGAGGATTTGGCCAATTTATGAGTATACAAAAGACAAGATATATGTGGTTCACCCTTAATGAATGGGCTACGTCCACAGAGAAGATGTTCTCATTATGATATTGTTTACATTTGTACAAGGGGATTAGACCCAAAGATAACTGGAAGAAGGCCTAGGGCCTAAGGTACAAAGTTAGGAGTCTGGAGCCCAGGTGTCAAGTCCCCGGGTCTGGAGACCCAGGACTCGAAGGCCGGACTAACAGGAGAGTCCTGAAGAGGAAGCCCAGCCCAGTTTTGGATCCCCTCTTAGGTGGAGAGTGGTATGCTTTTATAGGTGAGAGGGAGCCTTCACTTCTTGTAGTTTTCCGATGTG